ACATTACCTGAACCAAATTCCGCATTGCTGCACTGCACTGCTAGGCAATTTGTTGACAACTGAAATTTATGGCCGGTCACCCACTTCGGCTGTGTTTGTTCGCCGTTTGCCTGCGCGCGCATTCTTCAACAAGTTTTTCAAATATTTCAATACCGAGTTGCCACGTGGCGACCGAACCTGGTACATACCGTCTAGCTCTTTGGTCTTCAACTGAGATCGGAGAGACTATACACTCTATATTTTAATATTATATGAAGCAATTATTTTTCCATGTCATTTCCAATCCTTTTAATGTAAAACACTAAGCATACAATATGTTATAGCTGTACTTGCACCTGGGTAACAACATGGTTTAAAATCACCTTAAATTCTTACGTAAAAGAACATAGCTAATCGATTCGCATATCATATTCAAGCAAGCCCTGAAGTCTAAGCCGATGTAGAGAGTTATCTTCCAGGAAAGAAATTAGATCCCTATCCGTTTGCTTTATGTTTCCCTAAACATTTAGTACTCCTCTTATCTGCTGAACGCCAACTGAATTCTTAAGTCTTCCGCTTGATCTGATAAAACAGAAGCATGGAAAGTCATTATAATGCAGAGGCTAAATTAATAAAATGGCGTTAAATTGGGACTATGTACGTCGCTTATAAGTTTAATTATGAGAGCGGACGCGATTTAAATAATCCTTTAGTTTCTAGTTGAATCGGAGTAGTTGGGCTTTTAATATGAATAATTTGCTGGATATTTTTTAAATGACAAGCTAAATTTTTCGCATAGTTTTTGAATAACTACAATTATACATAAAATATTTAATAATTCTGTTTCATCGGCTTGTGATTGTTGTAATTTTTCACATTATCTTATCTCGCAAACAAACACAACGGTTTGTCAGTTGTTCATTGTAAACGAACCATTGTGATTGATGACGGTTGCCAATATCTTCTGATTTATTCAAGATGCCACCCTGCACATCCCTGCAGAACTCACCAATTTCTCCAAATTGTCGGGCACGGTCATCGGTCAGTGCATGATCCAAATGCTGAAGCGCTTGCAAACCATGCATATTTATGTCTCTACCTTTGTGTAAATTATAATGACAAGTAGTGTTATATAAACATGGCAGTCGTAACAGTCCGTGAATAGGGTCGAATTTGGCAGGTCGTCGGTAAATGACGTTGGCGTCGGTAATAATTTGTTGAATATTAATGGCCAGGGGGTTGTTCCAGCACACCGACGATTGGAGAGGTCGAAATGACCAGTCATATGGCAGAGTTGAACAATGCCGTACGAAATATGTTAGTGGAGTGCATTTGTATATACACGACTGGTGTATTGTTAGTAGTCTATACTTGGAGGCAATATGTAAATATTGCCGGTAATAAAAGTGTTTTATGTATGTATTTTGTAATAATTTGATATACAGAGCCACATGAAGCACATTTTATTTTCCTCAGGTTGGCAATTGAATTACGGCAAAAAATTATTAAAACAGTAAGATCAAAAATGCATCAAAACACAACATTCTGCTTGGTGTAATTTTTCATAAGATTTTCAGATTCAGTCAAGATTTAGGGATTTTAAGTTGTACCATCCGTGCAATATTGGTTGCCTAAGCTCGACAATCACGTGACTTGTAATCATTTAAGAAGGCTCTGGTTTCCACATATTTATAATTCTGGGTATATGCAATTTTGCACTTCTGTAAAGTCCTTTTATAAATCATTCATAAAATGAAAACAACAGAAATAAATAGAAAAAGGAAATTCCAAAATGTTCATATTCTTCCAAAAAAAAATTGTGTTCGTATAGGCCTGTTACTAATATTATTAATTTTCCATGTGTAAACCATAATAATCAAGCCAAATTTTGTTTTTCAGATGTTTTGGCTTGTTTAACGTCAGATTCAAGAATAGCTGAAAAGAAAAAATATGAAGCAGGCTTTGGAATGTTATTCAGAAATAAAATAGGAGCCATACTTTGGTAATTTAAAGTATTAGCTATAACTTCGAAAATAGAAAATTTCATTAAATCCATTTGGAGTTATAATTGTTTTCACACAACAACTTTTACGGGGCCTTTCTGAATTAATTATGTTCCATACAGTTTTGGTTTTATTCTTACAATTAGAATTAAAATTCAAAAATAAAATCGACCCATTTATGAGCTACAGCCGCAAAAACTATTTTTTTTTAAATTTCGCTTGTAACTTAGAAACACACATACATGGAGGAAACGTTATGATGTTCTCAGTAACACTCGTATAACTTTTAAGCCGATATCATTACACTCCATTCAGGATTTCTCAAATATAGTTATAATTATTGTAATCATAGGTTCACCATTGGAAATTAAACTCATTCTTTCAAACACAAACTCTTTGTGGAATCCATACTATGGTTTATTGATAAAAAGTAATTGATGGAATAAGTACTACATAATTGATATTTTTTATTCTCTCCTGGGTGTTCTCACAGCCCTTTTGATTCAAACAACTCTGGACACAAACACTCTTCTATAGTGAGTTTCGAACCAACAACTGAATACTTAGATCAGTCCGTCTTGTTATTGAGTCGTTGACTCGTTGTATGTTGACTTAAAATTGTATTAATATATATTATATGCTGACAGAATTGACAAATTATTATTATACTACATCAAAGCCTTTTCAGTCAAAGTATATAGAATAACAATTATTCCTTCTAACTGATCATATAAATTATGTAAGATCTTGTAAAGAAACACCAAGCTTAATATCTCAGGTCCTTCATGGAATGAAGTACAATTAATTCAGGTAAAAAAATATCGTGATTAAAACGTCTTTCAGGATAGAATTTGTTAAATTAGAATTCCAAAAACTTTTATTTGAACATATTCCTGTATATATATTTTACACGATACAAGTTCCAAATGGCCCTACAGTATTTGATACACTATGAGGGGCAAGATTTACTCCCCCTAATAACTCATAACCTTGCATTTACAGATATTCAAAGATTATTCATTGTTTTGAGGGCTTTTAAATCATATTGTAGCAATAAGCAACCTGATGCATTATTTATTTCTGTATATTGTATATTCATATCATCTGCAATCGTTATATACGTTAGAGATGAAAAGTAAAAGTAATAATGGCCTTAGATTTGATCCATGCCAGACATCAGAATAGCAATAAACTTAAATGATTTGGTATCTTCAATTTCAACATAATTTTATCTTAGATACAGAAAATTTGAGTATATTTCTGTTAAGTCATCTACGATTTTTAGCTCGTAAGCATGACTGAACCGTAAGTTTAAAAAATTTAAAACTATTTGTAATATGAGTGCCACAAATTCATATTTTATGAACTAATTTTAATAATAATAAAGGTACCAATGTACATAAAGTGGTTTAAATTAATTTTAATTCATTCTGAACACCAAATCATTGAAAAACAAATCGCCGTTTAACATTTGTGATCGATACAATTAATTTTATTACTTAGAAAGCAATTAGAATCAAGTAATTGCCGGTCAAAATGCCAATCAATTCTCCAACTCCAATGAAACATACCGTTCCGACTTGCATTTCATTTCCTCTGTCAAATTTTGTAGGTATTGCCAACCTAAATAGGATATTAGAATTAATTACACTCCTTACAGACGTAATGAGGATGTGTCTGAACTTGTAGCTACATGCGGAAGCTAAATTTCGTATGTTCTTACATTTCGGCAGACACGAAATAGAAGTGAAGATTTGATTAAAACTTGTAGAGTAGGAAGGGGTGTTACAAAACCTTCTAATATTTTAGAAACTAAATCGATTTATAATTACGCAATTCAAACATTGTTTGAATTTGTTTAATAACTTATTCTGTTTGGGAAATAGAAACATTAATAAAGTAGTACACTTTTATCTTTATCAAAAAATTATAGGGTAATATGTAATACTAACGTCAAGACATCAAATATAAAACACAATTACACATTACTAACTCACTGACAAATCATTTAAATAATACCCATAAAAATGGGTATTAGAATGATGAGCAGTTAATGCTCATTTACGCGGGGCAATGAGGCAAGTGCGTGATAGAGTAGAGTACCGTATAAACGTTCAGTAGAGTAGAGTAGAGTAGAGTCACTAGAAACATATGGTATGGTCTACTCTATTATCACCACCACCGTCAAAATGTCCGCTCGCCTACGCACTCTACTAATGGTGTTTTTTTTTGGTTAGCTATATGTATTTAAAAGGAAGACGAAGATAGATATAAGTAAAATTATGAACACATTTTTAAATTTTTTCAAAAGTGGTATTTTACAAAACCCTACCGACTCCAATACCATGTCTTTTCATTTTACAAATTCAAAAAATTAAATCAAGAAAAGGAATAAATTTAAGTGGACGTCAGAAAAGAATATTTTTTATATTCGAATCATAAAATAAATTGGAACCATTTATAGCAAATCCCTGTCTTTATGGAAACTAATAATCTAGACACAAAAATTAGACGAATACAGTGTAATATAGACTTGGTTTTTAGGTTTTTAAACTGATGGTGTACTAGAAACAACTCCTCTGGGGATTAATACATTGACTTACACCAGTTATATCTAGTAGCATCATTCGTCAGCCGAACCCATCAGACATATACCGGTTTCGACCTTATTAGTTTTCATTAGTGTGCTATGGGCAGGACTACCCACGAATGGTTCACCTATTTTTGATGTCTTAACTACAATATTGATTTTATAAGCTGCACTAACAGATAAGTCAAAGTAAGGACTGACGCTTGCTCACAATTTTGACGTCTGTAGGTCATCAGGACCCTAGGGACATAGCTAGCCATGTCTACGTTTTTAAATCTCAATTGGTTTTTGGCTATTTTAAAAATCCGAAAAATTGTGATAAATATGTTTTATCTGTCATATTTTTAGGACTATTACAATCTTTCTATACAACTTTTCATGTTTTAACTTCCTTAATCTCAATTTTAAATATTTTATTTTTCTTTCAGGTCGTGATGCTACAAATTTCATTCCCGTTTGCAAAGACCTACTAAAATTCCTTGAAATTGGTGAGTATAATTGTAATTTGATAACTGTAATTGAAAAGTAAATCATTAAGTTATTTCCTAATTGGTCACAATTGAAAATGAACATATATTGCTTGTATTTATTTATTTGTTAATTATTTAGTAGGTATATTTTATTTAAATGCCACTCTAAAGATCATAACAGATTTAAATATAACTATTCTAAATACCTAAATAACCCCATTCGTTACAAAAATTGGCCAAGAGGTTGATTTTATAAACTAAATTTTGCTTAACCAGCAAGGTGTCACACTGAGAAAATATTTAGGCAATTATTTCCCTAATTAACGTTTTAAAATCTTTATTACTAAAATACAACAATAAATATACTATAGATTGTTCCTTATTGAAATAAATATTCTATTTAAGATTTAAATATAGTACATAAGATCTTATAAAGTTAAAGATGGTAGCTCTATAAAACCAAAAAATATTTCATTTATTCTTTGATATTTCAATGACCCCATTTTCATATTTATGAATGAACGTTCTACCTATTGTCTTATTTGTTCAATTCGGTTATTAAGAATTGTGAAAGAAAACGATGTATTAGATATGTACTTAGAGCTCAACATGAATAATGCTTAGATTTATCCCGACGGATAAGTTTTACATTAGACCCGTATTCGTACCTATGAGTTTGAAAATATTCTAACTACCTCCGGTCATTTATTTTCTGGTGCCTGGTGTAACTAGAAAATGGTCATTCTGCTTTGATTTCATACTGACGTAAGAAGTGTCAAATGAAAAGTCAGTATTTGTTATCAGTATCGTAAACATATGCAAATTTCTGAAAATACCACGAATAAATTTGCATAAATGATCCTACAATTATAAATACATACATTTATTAACACCCTTTATCGGAAAAAGTAAATTAATAAATCGTTGGGGGTGGTTTGCATTTGAAGAAATAATGAAACATTCTAAATAGTAAAAGTTTTCTGAATTATGTGATAATTAGACAAATTACTTATTAGGCATATTAATAAAGAACTTTGCGTTTTTTAATAAGTGGGCACATAACTAATTTGATAAAACAATCAAAAAAATATTTGTTTAATGATATTATCTCGATAAAACTGATATCACATAATTTTCACGAGAAGTCTGAAATGTGTGTAGTTATCAAATGAAATCGCTACAGTTTTCGACGGCGTAGAACATAGCGCACAAATTTACTGAAATATTGTCAACCCTCTAGGGACTGAGAAATGGTCAAGGTGAGAAGTAATGGTGTGAAAAGTTAATTGACGGTTGACACGCCACCGGCAAACACAAAGAATAAAATATTACCGGGTAATTACTTAAAATTCAAAATGGACCGTCACGGAGAAAAATCGCAAGGAGCAGAAAGCACCTGAATTTCTTTTATTGTATGTATTATGAGGCTTATACGTTACTTAATGATTCCGTTTTGACAATGCGAAATGTTAGTTTATTTATGAAGAATGATAAATGCACCGACTTTCACAGTTCCGATTTTTGTTTGAGGATAACGATAAATTCAAATTCATGGTCAATAAATCACGATTATAATACTAAAAAGTATGTAATCTTGACTCCAAGTTTGCAAATTTCCATCGGCAGATTTAGGCTAATTCACCTGCATCCGAAATCGCTTCGTTTGACCTCTAGATGGCCTCAAAGTTCGTGAAAAATTTTTGAATTTTGTAAATAACTCGAATACGTATTATTCGATTTTGATTATTTTTATGGCGTGGACTTTTACTTTCAATCTACACATTTTGGTATTATACAGTATTTTTAAAAATTCCAACTTGTACAAAATTGATGGTGATAATATCTGTTCATATTTTTTTCTTCTTTCGGGCAATGGGCCTCTTGTAGAATTTTGATTAAATGAGCGGTTTGGTTACAAAAATATATATTTTAAATGTATACATTATCTTGCCACCCATATTACAATACGTAACAAAGTGCTAGTAGGCTCTGATTTTGTAGGTTGACTGTAATTTCAGTTTGAACTTTAAATCATTGTACCTACCAATTCTGTTTTACTAGAAACGGAATAATAAATATTCACAATGAACGCAATTCACAATGTATGCTTAAGAAAATCCACATCCTGTCAAAGTGAAACATTATCAGCATGCATTTCGCATCAATGTTTGGTTTGGGATCATTGATAGCATTATTATTGGCCCTGTTATTCTATCCAATAGACTGAATGGTAAATTTTATTTAGAATTTTTGCAAAACCCGAGTTATTGGAAAAATATTTTTTTTGTACCTAAACCGCTCTTTTAATTAAAATTTTATAAGAGGCCAAAAAACATCCAAATGGTATCACCTATCAAATAAAAAATAGTTATTATATTCAAAAAAAGGAAAAAATTATGAACGGATATTATCACCATACATCAATTTTGTAAGACACTCTGTATATCACCAAAATTTGTAGATTGAAAGGAAAAGTCCGCATCCCAAAAATGATTGGAGTTATTTACAAAATTCAAAAAAAATTCACGAACTTTGAGCCCATCTAGAGGCCAAACGAAGTGATTTCGGATACAGGATCGGAAAGTCCCCATGGTTCATCGGCCGTTACGTGAGAGCGATAAAGTATGTCATAGAAATCCGTGCGATAGAGAAAGATGGCTATAATAAGATCCACTTCTTATTTGTGGAAGGGCGAAATGGGCGGTGACTATTAGACGCCTTCATTATAGCCGTCTTTCTCTATTGCACGGATTTCTATTACTTTCTTTATCGCTCTCACGTAACGGCCGATGAACCATGGGGACTTTCCGACCCTGTATAGGTAAATTAGCCTAAATCTAACTATATTGAGTGCAGGAATCTGTGGTTGAACACGTTATTCTGGGACACCCTGTATTAATTTTAGGGCGTCTATATGTTTTTTAGTTCGTTTTTATCAAAACAAGTGCATATTTATTTTTATGTGAAAACAGAATGTATTTTTTAATTTCATGTTTACATGTTACAATTGATTTTAGTTGGATATATTTTTCTGACATCTTGCTATTATAACAGCAAAAGTTTCATCACAATTGTAAGCGACGCGGTATGTTTATATTAATTTACACAATGCACTTCCCTGATTAACATCAATCTACTTATTCCATTTCATCAGCTCCAAGTTCTGTCAGCACGAGCTCTCGCAGCCGACCCCTTTTATTTCCGCTTTATCTGGAAAGTTTTCGGTGCACAAAAGGGGTATCGTGAAACACATCCATTTAATTTTACAAGAAAAATTTCCTGAAATATTATTCTGACACAAGAAGGGTCCGAAAGCTACAAAGAGAGGGACATTTTACGTGAGTAAGGTAATTAATTTCTAGAGACTTTTAGAGGGCAAGAAGATGAAGTTTAGAAATTTGTAATACGTAAGTACATATTAATTTAACAGATTAGGGCAGACGTTAAATGTCGAACAGAGTAAATTATTATTCGTTTCGTAAATGTGCACATACAGGGTGTTCCACCTAAGAGGGATTCTTCTGTCACTCTGTAACTGTAAAATTTATAAAAAAATGGTTTTAATAAAAGATGTCTGGAATTATGTGGTGGGCCATGTAAGGAAAATATTGTTTTTTTTTTAAATGGAATATCCTGTATATTATTGCATTTTTAAATTCCTTGGCTAATATTAGGTAGAGATTATTAAATGTACATATTGTTTGAAACTTATAATTTTCGAGATAATCAGTCGTTTTTGAAAAAAATCACGATTTCAGCTCTCTAAATGAAGTTAGATAGCGTCTAAACCTAAGAGTTAGAAACCTGCAGTTTTCACAATTTGTTTTTGCATAAATTACTTTATTTTGTCATCTGTGAGCAAAACGTGTACGTTATTCAGACTTGGAAATACTGAAACCTACATTTAATAATATTACGAGTTGAAAAACTTTTTTTTAAATGGAGTGACCCATATTAATTGTCATGGGTTAATGCAAAATTCAATGCCCTTTCGACTAATATAAGGTTGTCCATACTTATCTTTAACAGTTTTCCAGAAAAATCATGTCCTTTTCTAAAGTCCGAACAAGTAGCTATATAACAGGGTCAAGAAGGCCTTACAATTGCACTAGTACAACGTCGATACATAGGATTTTACAAAAGCACAGCACAGCACATCCTTATCGCATCAAATTACACCAAGAGTTACTAAAAGTAGACTTTCAGCGGTCTTTGATCGTATGGGGAGCAATTTTGGGAACAAATGTCATTGGACCATTCTTTTTTGACCAGTATCTAACTGGAGCAGTTTATTTAAACTTTTTAACAAACACTTTTTAAGATTTGTTAGGCGACATTCCTTTAGCTACACTTCGAAGAATGTGGATGCAACATGATGGTGCTCAACCTCAGTTTTTACACGAAACTTTTCCCAACAGATGGATTGGGCGCGGGAGACCAATGAGTTGACCTTCAAGGTATCCAGATGTGACAAGTTGCGACTTTTTTTTGTGGGGATTTACAAAAAACAACGTTTACGTTACACTACCAACTACCGCGGAAGATATGTGGCAGCGCATTACAGTAGTATTTGAAGAAATTATGCCAGATATGCTGACCAATGTTGAACAGTCTTTTAAAATCCGAATTTGTTTGTGTATTAATCAAAATGGAGGACACTTCGAGCAATTGATGTAAATCAGCGGGCTAAGTATTCTTCTGTTGTGTTCCGAATTTCAGATTGTTTCATTTTGTGATTTGTTTTAGTTGTTGTTAATGGTTTACTTTTGTTTGTCAAACCAGTTTTTAAACATGCCAGTAAATATTGACATTGTCAGCTCTAGGCCTGATAAATGTGAGAGAAAAATGGTTTTGCAAGGCCTTCTTGACGCTGTTACATAGCTACTTTTCCGGACTGTAGAAAAGAACCTGATTTTTCTGGAAAACTGTTAAAATTAAGTATTCAATTTTGCATTCACCCATGACAATTAATATGGGTCATTCCATGTGAAAAAAAAAACTCTTAAAATTATGAAATG